ATTTCATATTCAATTATTTATTTCCAATATTTTTATTTACTAATAGCTTTCTCTTCTAAATTGGGATATGAGGAACATATTCCTGGCCAAACTCGAGACTGGAACGAGGAATTGCAGACAACAAGAGAGTTACCTCGAAAAAACTTACCTGAAAGACTGCTCAGAGAACGTGCTATTTTTAAAGTAAGTCTACATTTAAAATAATTGCATAATTCAAAATATTACTGTTGTAATATATTTATGTTTCATAAATGATTTATTTAGGTCCATAGTGATTTTGTTGCTGCTGCTACTCGAGGAGCAGTAGCTGTGATAGATGGTAATGTAATGGCAATAAATCCTGGTGAGGAAGCGAAGATGCAGATGTTTATTTGGAACAATATTTTCTTCTCTCTTGGGTTTGATGTCAGGGATCATTATAAAGAACTCGGCGGTGATGCAGCTGCTTTCGTTGCACCTAAAAACGACTTACAAGGTCTTAGAGTGTATGCTGCTATTGATCTACCTGGTCCCTATACATTGGGTACCGTTGTAATCGATTACAGGTTTGTACGAAATTAAATACACGCATTCTTTTCATCACATTATTTGTACGACGTGGATATTTTGTAGCGGATCATTTGTACATACTTGTTCGATGTTCAGTATTCTATCGCAACTTACATCTCGATCGAAAGGATGTTAAGTTTTCGTGGTAATCACTCGTATTCCTCTGCATAGAGGATATCGTGTCACCGCTCAGTCTATCATCCCTGGAATCTTGGAACGCGAGCAGGAGCAATCTGTTGTTTATGGTTCTATAGATTTTGGGAAAACAGTACTTACACATCCAAAATATCTTGAATTGGTTAGTATACAATAATAATTTTATATCATTTTTAAAATATATTTCTTAATCATTATAAATTACATGTATTATTTTATAGTTAAACAAAACCGGCCAATTATTAAAAATTCTTCCTCATAAAGTTATCAACGATGCTGGGGAGGAAGTTGAACTCTGCAGCAGTGTAGAATGCAAAGGTATAATCGGTAATGATTCCCGGCATTATGTGTTGGATTTGTTACGAACTTTTCCTCCTGATGTCAATTTCCTTAAATGTAAGTTGATATAATTAATAACAAACTTAAAATTAGTTTTAATTTTGTTATATTTTTATTCTAATTTTTTTTAGTGGAAGGAGTTGAATTAAGCAAAGAAGCAAGAGCTTTAGGTTTTCCAATTGAACACAAACATAAACTTGCTTGTCTTCGTCAAGAATTGATCGATTCTTTTGTCGAGGCTAGATATGTACAATTTATTAAACATGCCGCATTTCATCTACAGCAACTTACATCTGCAAGAAGAGTGCAAAAAGAAAGTGAAACTGTCTCTGTTAGGGTAAAAAAAATTTTTCAAATTTAATATTAAGTAAAATAATATTAACAACAATAGTATTGTATAATATTGAATTAATTTTAGGAAGGTAAAAGGGAAGAATTAAATACTGCTACAATGGATAGTAACAAAGAAGATTCTACTCATACTTTAATCGAAACAGATGAAGCTAAAAAGATTGTGGAAAGCATTACTGATTCTATTACTGGTGGAGAAAAACAAGAATGTATATAATTTAATTATTTATTATTTAAAAATATCTTATATATAATATTTAATAATATTATATATAAAATAATTAAAAATATCTACTAAATTTATCTCTTTCTTTTTCAGTGGAAGAAAGTACAAAAGAAATAGTACGCAGAGCTGCAACAGCAGTTGGCAGTTTGCGTGAAGCTGAATTTGATGTCAGATTTAATCCCGACGTATTTTCTCCAGGTGTTAAACATCCAGATCCAAATGGTTCTGCTTTAAAGAAACAAAAGCAATTGGTGATAGATGCTGCTGATTTCTTACTTACTGTACAAATCCCTACTTTTGTATGTTTTAATATAGAATATTTTTATGTTTATTATATTAATATTTGTTTAAAATTAAAATTGATTCAATTTTTATATCATAGATCCGAGAATGTTTAGATCATACAGCTGCTGCAATGGATGGTAGCATATTAGTAGAAGCTTTACACGGTAAAGGTATCAATGTAAGATATCTTGGTAAATTAGCAACTATGTTATCTACTGTCCCACAATTGCAATACCTTAAACGTATTGCTGTTTCGGAACTTATTTTGCGTTCGGCAAAACATATTTTTACATTTTATATGCAGGTATATTAATTTAAAATATTATTTTAATTTGAATGAACTTTTCATGAAAAATAAAAAAATTATGCTAACATTTATTTTTTAGGGTACAGAATTAATGAGTTTATCTGCAGCGATTAGTCATTTTTTAAATTGTTTATTTTCTTCTGCACAAATTATTCATCCACAACAAAATCTAGAAGAGGTACGATTATTTTATCTTTTATTACCTTTTATTTTTTGAAAATTGTTATATTTGTCAATTCAAAATAGTAACAATAACGAGTAATAATTTTTTAAATGATAATTTATATAATTGTCTATTTTAGCTTCAAAGTAAAACTGCAAAACGGCGCAATAAAAGAAAAGGTAGAAATAATGGTCCACAACAATCTGAAGTAGAATGGGCTTCCTTGACACCTAAATCTCTTTGGCAACAAATTAAAGCAGATCTGAAAAGTTATTATGATTGGGAAACACCATGTCCAGAATCATTGGATGCCACAATAGAACATTTTCATCTCCAAAAAATTTCATTACTTCGTAATTTTTGTATAAAGACTGGTATCCAAATTTTATTGCGTGAATATAATTTCGAAAATAAAAATAGAGCTACGTTTTTCGAAGAAGATATACTCAATATATTCCCTGTTGTGAAGCATATCAATCCTAGAGTAAGTAATACAAAATTTTTAAAATTTTGTGATTCTATATATAATGGTTTTATATATAAATTATTTTTGATTTTTATTTTTTATTTAGGCTAGTGATGCATATAATTTTTATACAACCGGCCAAAGTAAGATTCAACAAGGTTATTTGAAAGATGGATATGAATTAATTAGTGAGGCACTTAATTTATTAAATAATGTTTATGGTGCTATGCATCCTGAAATTGCACAATGTCTCAGAATGCTTGCGCGATTAAATTACATAATGGGTGATCATGGAGAAGCTCTTGCAACGCAACAAAAAGCAGTTCTTATGTCAGAAAGAGTTAATGGTATAGATCATCCATATACTATTACTGAATATGTAAGTATAAAATAAACATATTAAATTAATGATTAAAAATAAAAAAATATTCATAATTATATTATTATTTATTAATAGATCCGTCTTGCTCTATATTCTTTTGCCAATGGTCAAGTTTCTGTATCACTCAGGTTATTGTACAGAGCACGTTATTTAGCATTATTAGTTTGTGGTGAAGATCATCCAGAAGTAGCACTTCTTGATGTAAGTATTTCATATGAATATTAAAAATTTGAAAAATCAAACATTTTTAATCTTTAGCAGCATTATTCATTTATTTAGAGCAATATTTCTTTGATACTTCATGCTGTTGGAGAATATGAATTGTCGCTCCGTTTTTTGGAACATGCTTTAGCTTTAAATCTACGATATCATGGGCCACGATCTTTGAAAGTTGCTGTTTCTTATCATCTTGTTGCGAGAACTCAATCTTGTATGGGTGATTTCCGAGCAGCTTTAAATAATGAGAAAGAAACTTATGCTATTTATAAGCAACAATTAGGCGAAGACCATGAAAAAACTAAAGAAAGTAGTGATTGTTTAAGACATCTAACGCAACAGGCCGTAGTTTTACAGAAAAAAATGAATGAAATATATACTGGAAAATCGGGTGTTAGTTTACCACCGATTCAAGTACAACCGCCTAGCATGGGATCTGTGCTTGATATGTTGAATGTGATTAATGGTATTCTTTTCGTTCAAATTAGTCAACAAGATATTGAAAATTTTAAAGCGGAAATAGAGAAACGACAAAAAGAACAAACACCTGACAGAGAGACGAAGATGCTTCAAAATGGAAACAAGAAAAATGAAAAAGAAAATAAGAAAGAAGAAAAAGATAATAATAAAAAGGAAGAAAAAGAAAATAAAAAGAACGAAAAAGAAAGTAAAAAAGAAGATAAAGAAAATAAGAAAGATGAGAAAGAAAATAAAAAAATAGAAAAGAAAGTGGAAACACAGAAAGAATTAAAAAAATTGGAAGAAAATAAGACAACATTAGAATCAGTAGTTGCAGAAAGCTGAGCTTGTTTTAAACCGCTAATGATGATATTTAGTAGTTTTTTTCTAAGTCCTAGTCTTTCCTTGCCCGCGTCCAATCTTTTTTTTAAGAGTAACGCGAGTACGGCATATATAATTGATTGGAATAAGGTGAAAGTGTTTGCTCGAGATGAGGATCGTTATTTGATGTATCGTGTATACGTTTATAAAAGGCTATCAGAATCGAACTTTTATAGTGTGACGATCAATGACAATATAGATCAAACTTTCGAAAGAATTAGATTTCTTAATATTCGCAATGCTTAAATACAATATGCCAAGCTAAATAATTTATTTGACTGATTTACAACAGTATATAATAAATACATAAAAAAAAATTGATTCTCCATTTATGTAAATAATTCAGAATGAAAGAATTCATTGCCTTAATGCATATATTTATAAATTTTATTTGTGATTCACAATCTACAAATCTACAAATTATTGAAGAAATAAAGAAAGAATATATCTTAGTAAAATCATAAACAACAATTTCATCTAATATTGTCACATTTTTTCCAAAGACTCAATTAATTCTACTTTATAACAATAAAAATTATAGATATTATTGCATATATTACATTTCTATTAATCTATGAAATAGTAAATTAGTATTTGTTTTAGCATATTGCACAAGTGTTGCTAAAACTTGAACAAAATGCAATGTACCAATAAAATTAAAATGTTACAACAATTATCTATAACAAATAATGGATTTTATTATCGTAGAATATAAGTCAATTTTTTTCTATAAGCTATTTTATTATTACATATATGAAATCATGTTTTGTGCCATTTAGGCATTAATGTCATTCATTTTAGTTGCTATCGATACATGGAATATATATTAAAGTCATGTTTTCTATTTTTAGATATTGCTAATTTGAGGTTAGTCTTGTTGAATTCAATATGAATACTATAGATAATTTTCTTCTAAAGAATATTGATAGATTTTTCATAAATAATACATGTTTAAAAACAATATAGATTATACAAAAATTAATAAAAGATAGTATTTGCATTGTATTCAACAAGATAAATTTATATAGCTTTGTTAATCGTTTTTATACCATTCGTATACATTACGAAAAAAAAAACTTTCTTTCATTTTTCTATCACCGTTGTTTTATCCTCATTTTATGCGAAAATTTGAATCTGAAAATAATTTAAAATTAAAAAAATTTTCCATTTATACGGAAAAAGAGGTTTTATAAAAAAAATAGTGGCAGGAAAAGGATAATACAATGACAAGTATGCTATTATATTTCACGATCATTAATAACGATTATCAAAAACGATTCATTAATCAATATATTATAGGGATAGTATCAATTTCCTAATTATTATTAGAAATACTGCAATTTTAGAATTACAAACATCTGTTACTAAGCATATATCTTTAATGAATAATATTCGTTACGAATATTAACATGTTACGTTAAAATTTTATATGCCACACCAAATTAAGTTAAAAAAATTATATAAATAGTTTGTTCATATTTGTTTTAAATAAAAAAAATTATTTTTTGTCATGAATCAATTATGTTTATAATAATAATGATGATAATAATAACGATAATAATAATGGAAAGCAAATAATATGAACATGCCATATAGTTTTCATTTAAATTTGTATATTTTACAACATAAAATATTATATTGCACTTGTTAGTTAAAATGTACAATGAAGAATGCTAGTTAATAAGGATTATTGATTATAAATAAAGTTAAATATTTGATTTACATATGTTACCTGTTACATAATTTTTGTTATATGATGACTATAAAGTTTACATAAAATAAATCATTTTGTATGGAACATAAAGTGATATCTTATACAAAATTTTTAATTTGATTCAAATTCATTTCAATTTTGCTTGTTTTTAATCGTTTTCGTTTCTTTTTATTTGATTTTTCATGTAATTTTTGAAAATATTCTCTAATATCTAATTTATTTATTAAATATTGTCGAAATGTTTCTAAAGCATTTTTGCCACCAGTTCCTTTTTCAAGGACCATAAATATTTTTACATCATTATTTTTAGCTTCTTCATGTTCTATTAATTCAGCAAAAAAGTTACATATTAACAAAGGTTCTTTTATAACAGTTTCTTGTAATTCTTTAATTGTTTGATCTTCAATTATATTTTTTGAAGTATTTTTCATTAATTTCTTTGTAGAATATTCTATATCATTTGTTGTAGTTAAACATTTTGTGTTATGATCTATAAATTGATTCATTAATCTTTGAGCTAATCGACGTTTTCTACGTGCATGTGACCATGTATCATTTTCTGCAATTAGTTGACATGACCAACCATTAAAATTGTCAATTGGCAAATTTAATTCTTTGATTTGTATCTAGATATAAAATATGATATAAAATAAAATGTTATGATTATTATAATAATATGGTAGAAAATATAAATATAATATTACATTTAATTCTTTCATTGTTTCTTCCAAAAAATTAACTAAATTATCAAAAGAAAGAAATCTATGTTGTATTGGAAATTGTATCTCTATTGGATGTTGTTGTCTAAGTAATTTTGCAATATAATCTTCACTTTTTCTAATAACTGGAGCATTTATTAAATTAACAACATCTTTTGGTAAAAATGACCAAGCCAATCCCCATCTATAAAAAAAATTAATTTATATATATAAATATAAAAAAATAAAATAGTATATTATTTCTAATTACCGTTTTGTGTGACCTTGACAAAATTCTGTCCATGTCACATTTTCTATATTTTTTTGTTTTAGAAATTTTAATAAAAATAATAAATTACTTCTTTTACCACACATTGTGGTATAAATTTTTATTTTTTCTTTAATCTCTATACTTTCTTTAATCATTTGTGTTACAAATGCTCTTTCACCACCTTGAACTGTAAGTTCAACTTTGTTTCCTGTTGAAGCATTTCTTGGTGGTAAACGTTTTATTATTTTTTCTGATAATTCTTCTATCTCAAAAAAAGGTGGATTACATATTGTAAAGTGATAGATATTATTTCCTTTTATAATATCCTTCAATATTGTTCCTTCATTTACTTTAAATACTATAAATCGATAAAATTATTTATAATTTATAAAATAACAAAATATAATATGATTAATTTACCTTTTATTATATGATGCAATTTATTATTTTCAATATGTTGAATTGCTGTTTGTATGCTTGTTTCATCAACTTCCGTACCAATCATTTGATTTCCATACATTTTTGCAAACAATAAAGGATAAATGCAAACTGCCCCAGTACCTATGAAGAAAATATTTAATATTTATATTAAATAAATAAATTATATTAAATAAAATATTTTAATATTAAATTTTATTATTCAATTTATTTTTAATACCAATATCTATGCCAATTATTTCTTGCATTTCAATAAAAGAAATATATTTCATTAAATCTTCAATCCATAAAATATAATTTATTCGTAATGGTAGAGTTGGTACTAATTTATTTGAAGGTATTTTTACTTCTAAATTAAAATCATGTTTTAATAAAACTTCTGTAAGCACACGTAGGCTTTCTTCATTTTTGAAGTCAATCTTTATCTTTCCTGTTAAATCCTATCAATAATTTGTTAATAATTTTTATAAAAAATGTGATAGTTACAAATAAAAATATATCTTACAATATTTGCAATATTACGAAACTCTGGATATAATAAAGCAAGTTCTTTGAAATCTGGTATTTTTTTATATTTATTTCTTGGATGCATGAATTTTCTTAATGACATTTTCAAAAAATATTTTTTTTTGCTCTTAATTTAGTATTTATTAATATTTATTTTCCGATAGGTTGTATAAAATATATATATATCTAAATATATATATATAATGTAACAATTATGTCAACAAATATTTTTTATTTATAAATCTGAAATATTTGTTTTAATTTTCTATTTATATAAATTATATATCAAACAATTTTAACACAGGTTTGTTTATAATAGTTCATGAGAATTTGAAAGGCTAGTTTTGTATATATTGAAAAAACAATATAATTTTTCTTGTTCTTTATGTTCTTAATTATTAATTGTTTAAAGATATTTAATTTATTTTAAAATATCAAACATCGATTTGTTTTAAGAAATTGTTAAATAATTTTATTATAAAAAAATTCATTTCATATTTCTAATATCATGAAATTTACGTATTTCCAAAATAAAATAAAACATATTTCAATTAACTTCAAATATTACTGAATGAAATTATCATTATGTAATTTAAGCAGGATGAACAATACTAGTATATTTATTATGTAAGAAAATTCCTAGAAAATCAAAACATTAATAATATAGTAACTTTATTTAGTGAATGAATTTGTAATCATAAACATGTAATATTTTACAATTAAATTTAATATAAATTAATAATTGTTGCTTATAAATATTTAAATATGTGAAATTTAAAACAATAAAAAATAATTATAATTATTAGAGAAATAATTTTAAATATATGAAAAAATCATATTTATGTAAGTTAGAAGTGCAATATTTGAAAGGTTGGCACCAGTGTACATGAACGAATCTATCGTGATGACAATTTTAAGTAGTGACAGCCGCGTATATTCTTCTGTACCTTATATTAGCATTATATGCATTTTTACTGACACAGAACATAATTTTCTTAGTGTGTGATTTGTTTTACAAAGAACATATGGAATAATAATTACATCGAAGGTATGTGCTTTGCAATAATTTTAGCGCATATTAGAAACAGATGGTCGTCATGATTCGTTTCGCTGACAGTTAATTTGGATAAGTACCATTGTGACAATTTTTTCTTTTCCATCACTATATTGTTAGATAATTTTTACCGATTCTTTGTTTTTTGTGTTTCTAACATTTGATATTCAAGGGTTTATAATATTTCATTCACTTAAAAATGATATGATATGAACAAGAACAAACTATATGTGGAGTAATACTTAATGATGTCATGTTAAAAATATTTTTATTTTTCCGTTTAAATTTTAATTCAAATAGATTGCATTTTATTTTTGATATTTTCATTCTTTTTAAAATAAATTAAAATAAAATTTTGTCCAGATAACATTATTAATAATTTAAAAATATACATATGCTTTTGAATAAAAAGTTGTGATATTTTTATAAAAATATTAAATTGCATTGAAATTAAAGTAATGATAAAATAATGATATAATATTCCTTTATTTAAATTATAATTGATATAAATGATATTCATATAAATAGTATAACTATTACTATGATATTGTATAAGTTATTTTAATTTTTAAAAAATATTTGAATTTTTTATATTTTTTAACTTAAAAAATATTAAGAAATAGATTCACATAAATTAACATTTGGATATAATAATGAATATAATTTTCTCATATTTTTTTTGAATAGATGAAAAACTATTTAATCTATATTTAATTTAAAATAGACAAATATTAATTAAATATTATAAATATTTTCAACTATTTTTAAAATTTTTTTTAAATTACATAAAATATGAAAGATAATTTATTATTTTGCAGATAATCTTTAACATAGAATAATAAGAATAAAATGATTCTAAATATTAATTATGATATTTAACTATATATTCAAAAATTATATAATTATATAAATATAAATTATATAAATTATAATAATTATTTTATTTAAGTTATATAATTACTTTGTACAAGTAATGTACTTGTATTTTATACAAGTAT